CGGTTCACTGAGGTTTGAAAATAACTCATGTCAATGCTTTAATTAACCACTAGGCTACCTTGTTAACTCTGAAGTACAGATATTCAGAGTGTGTGAGTGAGTGAGTGAGTTTACTTTTACGCCGCACTCAGCAATATTCCAGCTATATGGCGGCAACACTCAAGTACAAAAAAGAAAAGCAAAAGAACAAGATGATATACCGAACAAAGATGCCAAATGGATGGATGGATGGATGGATGTGGGTGGGTGGATAAATGGAGGCAGGGAAGGGCGGGAAGGAGCGATGGATGGATGTGGGTTGGAGAGTGGATGGATAGATGAAGGGAGGGAACCATACATCCAGCCAGCCAGCCACCAATCCACCCACCCATCCATTCATCATCCTTCCCCAAGATTTCTTGGTCATATGAGAATCTGGATGGATGGATGGATGGATGGATGGATGGATGGATGGATGGATGGATGGATGGATGGATGGATGGATGGATGGATGGATGGTGGGAGGGATGGATGGATGGGTGTATGGATGGATGGATGGATGGATGGATGGATGATGGATGGATGGATGGATGGATGTGGATGGATGGATGGATGGATGGATGGATGGATGGATGGATGGATGGATGGTGGATGGATGGATGGATGGATGGATGGATGATGATATGGATGGATGGATGGATGGATGGATGGATGATGGATGGATGGATGGATGGATGGATGGATGAATGGATGGATGGATGGATGGATGGATGGATGGATGGATGTGATGGATGGATGGATGGATGGATGGATGAAGGATGGATGGATGGATGGATGGATGGATGGATGGATGGTGGATGGATGGATGGATGGATGGGTGGTGGATGGATGGATGGGTGGGTGGATGGATGGATGGATGGATGGATGGATGGAAAACATATACTAATCTGGCAAAACAGACAACTGAATTGTTCAAAGTCAAGAGACTATCTGCTCGTGTGAGAATCTGGATGATGGATGGATGGATGGAAGGGATGGATGGATTGATTGATTGATGGATTAATGGAAGGAGGATGTGGCCTGATCTGGTCAAACAGTCCAACAAAATGTTTGAATTCAACGTTTCCTTCCATGAATCGGTGCCCCTGCACATGTTAGATCAAAGAAACAGGAAACAGAAATAAGGACAGAATTTGTAAGCAAAACAATCTTCAAAATCAATACAATCTCGCTGAGACTGAAATGAGGCCAACATGCTTGGCCTTTAAGGAGGCAAAAGCTGGAAAAGTCACAGATGTATTGATTAAATTATTTCCACCACTTCAATCTTACTGCTGTTTGATGACAGAGGATGCAGATCCTTCATGAGATCATTACAATTGCCAACGTTTTAATGCACGTATGTTTATACATTCAGAGTATGCCCTCCCTATTATGTGAGTGAGCTTGGTTTTACGTCACTTATTCAAGCAATATCACGGCGGGGGACATCCGAAATGGCCTTTACACATTGTACCCATTGTACCCATGTGGGGAAGCAAACCCATGTCTTCCGCGTGAAGAGTGGATGCTTTAACCACTAGGCTACCCCAACAGCCCTTTGTGGTTGGTTGTTGGTTTGTTGTAGTTGTTTAAAGGCTCACTCTGCAATATTCCAGCTATATGGCGCCGGTATGTAAATAATCGAGTCTGAACCAGACAATCCAATGGTCCACAAGCCCCTTGTGGGGTGAAATCCAGTAGGGTGGGGAAGGGGAGGGAAAGAAGTTATGAGTATTCTCTGTGAACAAACTTTCTTTGTCAGAATCAATAATTTTTCAAAGGTTTTCTCATTAGAGAAAGCACCTGTTTACATAAGGACATAGAAACAACAGTATATCACTTCATTTCCTGTTTCACATCCAAATGATCGGAAACCACACAGAAATAACTGTACACAGTCTCCCAAAACAACACAATCAAAGGTCATTTGGGATACTCCAAATGCAAACTTTCTAAGTTCAATAAAACTATTTCTAAATATTACCCCAAACAATTGTTTGACCTGTTGATCGTCAACACAGGAACAGCAGTGTTCAAAATTCACCAGGGTCACTGTGTCCTTGACATTTGTTGCCTTAGTTCGTGCACTTCAAGGTCAACTCAAATATTTAACAGTTAACACTGGGGTTGTGACTCTCTTGCCTAATTCTGACCACTAGGTAACAAATACTGTGTGAATTTCTTTCTAAGACATTTAGTAACATAAATTACTTGACTCCATGCATGGACAGTGATATTATCTGTTACCAATGAGTGAGTGAGTGAGTGAGTTTGGTTTTACGCCGCTTTTAGCAATATTCCAGCAATATCACGGCAGGGGACACCAGAAATGGGCTTCACACATGTACCCATGTGGGGAATCGAACCCGGGTCTTCGGTGTGACGAGCGGACGATTTAACCACTAGGCTACCCCACCGCCCCGTTTCCAATGAATGCTCTGATATAACATATTGTCAATAACAACTTCACACAATCAGACCAACACGTGAGAAGGGAAAACTATTATTTCTCCGTCAAACAGAACATACACGACACTGTGATCAGTGTTTGAATTGGAGCTCAGCAACCCATGCTTGTTGCATGAATGAGTGAGTGAGTTCAGTTCTACACAGCACTCAGCAATATTCCAGCTATATGTCGGCGGTCTGTACATAATCGAGACTGGACCAGACAATCCAGTGATCAACAGCATGAGCATCGATCTACACAATTGGAATACAATAGCATGTGTCAACCAAGTCAGTGAGCCTGACCACCCGACCCAGTAAGCCGCCTCTTACGACAAGCATGGGTTACTGAAGATCAACTCTAACCCGGATCTTCACGGGTTGTATGAAATGACAATGGCTCAATGATTTGTTTGATGCATATCAACTAATCCCAGTTATGATATACATGGCATGTAAGTCAATGCTCATGATGTCAAACACAGGATTGTCTGGTGCTGACCTGATTATTTCAGGCATCACCATACAGGTGGAAACCTTCTGAGAACAGGTGAAAAAAACAAACAAACGAGACATCCCTGTGCTCACAGATGACATCACAAGTTGTTCCCTGGTCACGAGGGGGCGTGGGTTGATGTACCCTCTATGTTTGTTTATGTTCCCTGAGCCCGAAGTGGGAGGGGCACATAAACAAACATTGAGGGTACATCAACCTATGGGCCCCGAGGGACCAGAGAACAACATATTTATCTTACCGAACACCGTAATGGTAATTTTGAACTGTTTGAAGCACGGGTATCAGATCATAGTATGGAGTACAAGACGACAAGACAACAAGAAAACATATTTAGAGTTATCTCCCTTCCATCAATTTGCATTCGCAAAACATCGGTAATTTCCGTACATCATACGTGATTCAATGTTTTTCGAGATAAAGAATTACTACTACGCATTCCCAGCGGGGTACATGGAAAATGTTCTTACCAAACACCTCAATGTTAATATTGAACTGTTTGAAGCATGGGTATTGGATCAAAATGAGGAGTACTGGAGTACCAGAGACAACAGCCCAAACACTACCAACACGAAGTACCAGACAAATTCCCACAGTTCGGCATTTCCAGCGGGTAACATAGAAAATGTTACTTGCTTGAAACCAGGGTACATTGATTGGCTCAGCCAATCAGAAAACAACATTTATGTGTGATATGATAAAACTCCATATTCTGTATATTTTACTACATTCTAGGAGGTAGTTGTCAAGCAAAAGCTCAATGTGATGCTATTCATCAGCCCTACACTTATGATATACTGAGGGAAACAAATAAGGGAACACCACTTCATTGCAGTGTTCCTTTAATAAACCGGGCTTTATATATTCTCAGATTTCCTCCCACAGCACTATTCAAAGCTGATGATGAAAGGAACACTTGAATTTTCCCGTGTTCCGTATTTGTTTCTCCCAGTATATAACTGAAAGCTTACAACAGATTCTGTGGTTGTTAATCTGCTACCACTTGCTGTTTAGGTTGGTAATCTGTGACCACTTGCTGCTTAATAGGATAAGTGTGTCAGCATGGCCATGGGCAGATATACTGGACAAAAATAGTTAGGGATATATGTAAATTTTGACATTATGAATAATGATTTATTTATTCATTGACACTCTGATAAAATAACAATCATAAAAAAAAAATATCCCTAACTTATTTTGTCCAGTATATCTAGAAGAGAATAAGTTTAAACAATAACCAATGTCAGAAATGTATTTGTACATACGTAAGTGTGGCTGGTAAATGACCAAATTTGTTCGGGAAACCTCGCTTTCAGCTTAATTACACCCCCCTGCACATAACTGAGTCTGGATCAGACAATCCAATGATTGTTATTGTCAGAAGAATCCTTGCCATCTATAAGTGGCACACAATGAAACACCTGCCGACCAATATACATGGCTTATGACCACCATAAAGTCCAAGGACCAATGCTAACCTGGAATCGTCCCTCACTAAAATAAAGAAGCCAGAGTACATATAGAGATCTTTGTGTTATTAGATTATTGGATTTAGAATAGTGTTAATGCTAAATTCAAACTGATCACCCAATCCTTTTAGTGAGTGAGTTTAATTTTATGCCACACTAAGCAATATTCAAGCTATATGGCGGCGGTCTGAAAATGATCAAGGCTGGACCAGACAGCCCAGTGATTGACATAATCAACATGTACATCAACATACTGACTGACTGACTGAGTTTGGTTTTACGCCACTTTTAGCAATATTCCAGCAATATCACGGCAGGGGACACCAGAAATGGGCTTCACTCATTGTACCCATGTGGGGATTCGAACCCGGGACTTCGGCATGACGAGCCAAGGCTTTAACCACTAGACTACCCCACCGCCCCACATCAACATGCATCAACATGCATCTACCAAGTCAGCGAGCCTGCCTGATCCGGTTAGTCTTATGACAAGCATGACTTTTTGCAGACACGTGTCACTGGGAATATAAGAAACAACACAGACGTACCTTTCGAGAGCTTCTTGGACTGCTTTGACTTGAATTCTTCAATGATCCTGCCCGTACATGTTCTCGCCTCTGTCGCCAAAACATGAGAAAACCATATACAATAGTCACTGATGATATCAACAAACACAGGGTTATTTCTGAGTAGGAATGAGAGATTGTGTTGCCCATCATTGTAATCACAGCATTGGATAAACCATCCATGTTCACTGTCAGAAATGACATGAAATCCGCTTCCTCGCTCATTTCATGTCAATTTCACACTATGAAATTTACACGTTCATTAACACACTTGTTGATGTCTTGTAATCGGTGAGTAATTTCAGTTGCTCATGATTGACAAAAATCCCAGAATCCTCCATGTGTATTCACACCCACATTGATTTAGTTCATTAAGCACAACTGGTGGAACCGTGTATCAGTTTCAGTGATTAATGTCGTGTATGCATTTCAAATGCATATCTTGATATAAACATGATCTTGACTGTCAAACACATAAATTCAAAGCCGCAGTAATATCCAGCTGTTCAAACAAAACACAAGTCACAGTGACGGATGAAACTCGAGACATCAAAGCATAATCGAAACTAACACGACAAATGTCAGTTTCAAAACAGGAACTCATTATGTCGCAAACAGGTCTGAAATCCTCATGAAACAAAATCGGCAACTTATGAAACCAGCATCAAAACTCCAAATATTCAGCAGCAGCTATTCACAACTCAACTCCACTCCCAAAGAAATGAGAAGTATAATCGGCAGATCAGTACTACACTCTGTCCGACAAACAATCCCATTTCTCGTGCCAACAAGCCCTGTGTTGTTCCTCGCTGATCCACAAAGCTCTGACTTTTCACAAGTAGTCTAATTTCTGTTAATAGCTGTCGATTTGCATCGTGAGCTGCCATCTATCCAGCAACAACATGGTGCACACACAACAAGGAAATGTCCATTTCACAGCTAGGCTCGTCAATGTCAACTAAGAATTCTGAATCAGTTTACATTTCCGGAAGATCCTAAGTTCATCAGTTTGCTAACATGATGCAGAAGGCTTAAACTATTACCAAGAAGCAGCATAGGTCGTTACTGTCGATGCTGCATAAATGAGTGTGAAATACATGAAAAGTATACAGCTTCCGATCAATGTCCTTGCTGATTACATGTCGAAAATGATGAAAAGGTTTCAGGTTCAATAAAGCGCTGTACTTCCAGATCACGTCGTAAATATTCTTAAATGGGAGTTTATTCAGCCACCATAGCACCAGCTATTTATTAAGTGTACAACAGGCTTTAAAGCTTCCTCTCGGCAACTAACTTCACCTCCAGCAGGTCGGTGCATACGCAATGGGTCAGGATGGCTATTTGTACAACACCTACTTAACTTGATGGCTCCTTAGGCAATGAATGCTGCATGTTATATTCAAATCCAACCTTCCTTGGCTGAGTATTATAGTATTGAGAACACTTTCTTAATGAAATCAGCATGCTACTCCATAAGTCTTCTGAATAAATCTTACTACTATTCATGAAACACTCTCTTATCCTGCATTTTTTTACGTGTTTAAACTGTTAATCAAACAGATTCTAGTTAAACGGATTTCATATTCTGCAACAAGGAAATTGATTTTTTAAAATACATATTCTCATTTAATAGCCTGTCAGGATTGACCATACTGATGTATATTGCATGTCAATATCAGAATGAAACCTATTTCTGCAACTGACAAGGAAGATAATTATTCATCTGCACATGATGTGTGTATTTAATTTTTTACATGGCCCTGTGGCCATCATGGAAATAAATCTATTCTTCTTTCCACATATTATTCTGAAAAAAAACCAACTTAAACTAAAAAGGCTCCAGTTTTACATTTTCAGGAAATGAATAAAATATAAAATCACAAATTACACTTCTTAAATTTTCAGACCTATATAGACAGATCTATACAGAAATTCTTTATACCGACTGTCACTTATCATAAAATAATTACAAATAGGTTTTAGGAAGGCAGTATCATTTTCTCAGAAATGACATTGAAAAAAACTTAAAGGAACATATATAAATGTATTTTAACAATCCATGGACAGAGCAAATCTGAAAAACAGCCACTGAGGGAATATCCTGCTTGTATCTTTACTGTCAGTAACCTATGTAAATAAATACTACTTCCAGACAACACATCCCCAGTTACGAAATCATTAAACAAATGTCACTGATTAGAATAAGATGAGCATATCTGTAGTCCAAACAGCATAAATCCATGTGTGTGTCTCCAAAACAGTTACAAACATCTGCCAATCAACATCGATATCCACAACTGTTGCAGCTACACTGGCTTCACCTTTGCGTGTTATTACCACTGCAAGATCGACAATTGTCACAAATGGACAGCACAAGTATCCTGGCCACTTAAAACATGTTTTTTTCCATGCCGACTTCGTCTGACGTCCATGTTGCACCAAACTGATCCACACACACACTGTCGTCAATTGCAGACTAGCAGCCCCAGCCTTAGCGTCAATTTCAAGGTCTGGAAATGTGTGACTTCCTCCCATGCTGCATGTCTGGCGACAGATAAAATGTCAGTCGACATCCTACTGTGGTCCGGCTACATTGAATTAACCTCTAACCCATCTTGGCGACTATTTACATAGCCAACCAACCCTAACACAAAAAAGAACAAGCCTTTTGTCACAGAACTTCAATATTTGTCAATGCTGAAGGATCACATGTCACTCAGCGAGAAGATTGACAGCTACTGATCATTCATCCACAGTGAAGCATGCGTTGTGGTTGTTTTTGTAACAGTATCTCGGAGCACTTCCAGCACAATAGCTCCCAGGTATAACTTTCAAAAGATATACCAATGAATCATCAGGCAAAATATTGAAATAAAAAATATATAAAAGCCACATTGATTCAATTTCAAATCCTTTCAATCACACATATTTCTTCTTTAAAACTTTAACAGAATAATCACAGCATTTCTATATCAATAGGGGACAGCTGTTATTGTCAAGGGACATAAGAATGAATCATCAAGTTAACATTAAATTTTTAAAATTACTTTTGACATCAGCAGTTACTGAATTTCAAACCAATTCAAAACAATGACAAAAATGTTTTTTGACAATTCACGATGGTGTTTTAACACCTATATCAAATCTTTCACAAATGTCGTACAAAACTATGCCTTACAAAGACATTAACACTTGCAAGGTATTTTCAAATATTTTGTCCATGAATCATTTGCAAACAATGACTTGTCCTCAAGGCCATGTCCCATGAATCCAACACATATGATTCAACAACATTTCAAAATGCCCAAGGAAGTAAGATCCAATCAGGAGACGTATTTTTTCAACATTCGCAATGCTCCTCCAGATACAGCTACTTTGCATTAGTTTGCAACACGCACATTCCAACATCCAGGTAAAATACACAATGGTTCAATCCAAAAATGGCATTTTTAAACAGAGAATCCACAAAGAAGCGAAATTTCTTCAAATTCAAATTTTCAATTTTTTGTGTCCCATTTTCCAATATTTCAACTTTTTAAAGAGCCAGTTGAGGTCAACAGCTTCAGACTCCTTCACCACGGCACTGACTGTCGACTGCTGATCACAAACTTGGCTTTCTCAAGTGTGCTTGTATCTACCATAAATGCTCTAATAAACAAATTGAAGCACAGGTGGCTCAGTCATCTATAGCTACATGATTCGCTGTGCAGAGTTGTGCATCTTTGAACACATAAACCTGTAATTGCTGATTCCCAGTTTGCCCCAGTTACGTTTCTGGGTCGATTGATTGATTCATTCATTCATTCATGTTTAAAACCTCCCTCAGCAATATTCCAGCTATATGGTGGAAGTCTGTAAACAATCGAGTCTGGACCAGACAATCCAGTGATCAACGTCATGGACATCCAGTGATGAACAATATCAGTGTTGCTCTAAGTAACTGGGATACAATGTTGTGTCAATCAAGTCAGTTATCCTGACCACCCAATCCAGTTAGTTACCTTTCTTGTCTACCGCCGTTATTGCTGGAATATTGCTAAAAGCAGCGTAAAATCATACTCACTCACTCACTCACTCTCTCACCTCTTTAATTTCCCCCCTCCCTACTTCACCCCAGCAGGTAACACCAGCACTCAAGCCTATTTGACCCCACCCAATATCACTTGCATCCACCTGTTTCCACAACAACAAAATTCACACATTCAAAAATAAAACTAGAATTTTTAAATCAAGAATACAGCCAACTCTGGTTTATTTTGATAACTATGGTACGTCAAGCCCCTACTGGGGACAGACACCTTATGAGTCATCTTCTTGTCATTTCTTTGTTGAACATAGGTTTCCATGCAGGTACATCGTAGTGAATGAAGAGTCTCCTCCACCCAAGCTTACAGCCCCTATTATCTCCCTGTCCTACTCTGGGGCTGAATCATCAGCCTGAATGTTGATGCTTCACCTGTAATTTAGCGAACTCTTGGGTTATGGAGAATTAATTATAGTAAAATCTTGATACATGAATGGGTTGACAAGAATAACAATATGACAATGATTTTATGTCCTGATTGTTCAGCTTCACAGCACATGAACGATTATAAACATCTGGAAAAGTCAACTTGGAACAGTTGAGTCAAACTGACTTTGTAACACGATCAATTACTCCATAAAGTCTCCTCATATACATACAATAGACACACTCTATTCTTAGTCCTTTTGTTCCCATCTGAACATTCAGTTGAAATTGATACCAAATTCTTGAAGACAAGCATGCAATGATTTACATAACTTGACAAGACAGAAGCTTGAAAGAACAATTGATCGGTGAGTGAGTGGGAATAAAACCTAGGTTTATTCGGGACAAACTGACACTTGAACCACTAGGCTAGCCTAGTCCTTTGCTGTTAACAACAAACCCAGTCTGATCATAAGCCACTCAAAAGATGATTTACAACATCTGGGCCCTTATGCTCGTTTGTAGCCCTAAGAATTCTTAACTTTGATCATAGCCAATGTATTAGACTAACAACTAGTCTCTGAAATGAACATATTTTACTGAAAAAAGTTCATAGTAAAAAAAAAAATATATAATGAAAAGGAGCCCTGAGACTTTCTTCATTTTCAGAATTTCCAGAAGCTGAGGAAATCTAGACTTGCCACATTTTCTAGACTTGTGTGGGCTTTCTTGGATATATTTGCTTCAGGGTCTGTACGACAGACTACCAATGAATTAAGGATGGGCTTAAGCAGTTCGTAGGGCTACGAACGTTTCGAGAATAGCTAGCCTGATTATTGACAAAGGTATTTGGCACAATCTGTATATCTGTACTGCTCAAGAGAAGTTATAGGATATGTCAATATGAGTATATGCACAGATTGCATATGTACAGTAATATGGAGATTTAAACCTGAGAATTGCATACAACGGAACACCTCTCCCACTGGGCTACCCTCCAAGGTTAATAATTATGATTCAGCATGTGAGTATGTTTTTTTGCCGCTTTTAGCAATATTCCAGCAACATCACGGCAGGGGACACCAGAAACGGCTTCACACATTTCCTGATAAGGAGAGAATGTCTTTAATGTAATGATACTAAAAGTGCAACTTGGTGTGCAAGTTGGTTTTAACACGGTTTTGAAGATTATTCCATTTTTATTCTGACTTGTCAGCTTCACGTTTGAGGAGAGCCCTTAGTGATGCAGGTCTTAGAGAAGTTGTTTAACTTCACACTCAGTAGTATTCTAGCTATGTGGGGACAGTCTGGAAATAATCGAGTCTGGACCAGACAAGCCAGTGATCAACAGCATGGATATCGGTCTACACAGTTGTGATATGGAGACATGTGTCAACCAAGTCAGCAAGCCTAACCACTCAATCTCTTTAGTCGCCTCTTACAACAAGCATCTTTTGCTGAAGACACATTGATTTTGTTTGTCATGTCTTAAGTTTCAAACAAACAAAGCCGCAGTAAGGAGTTATACATTTATAATTCTACAAGGTGAGGGAGCAAGTGAGTTTAATTTCCAGCTATATGGTGGTGGTCTGTAAATAATCGAGTCTGGACCAGACAATCCAACGATCAACAGCATGAGCATCGAGCTGAGCAAATGGGATACGATGACATGTGTCAACCAAGTCAATGAGCCTGACCACCCAATCCCTTTAGTCGCCTTTTACAATAAATATAGGAGATCAATTCTAACCCGGATCTTCACAGGTTTTTACAAGGTGAAGATTCAAACTCAGAATGATAAGTAAACGCCATAACCTCTTGGCTTCTGAGCACTGTCAACACAACTGAAGCAATCTTAACAACAAGTGAGTGAGTGAGTTTGGTTTTATGCAGCTTTTTTCAGTATTCCAGCAATATCACAGTGGGGGACACCACAAATGGGCTTCACTCATTGTACCCATATAGGGCATCAAACCCGGGTCTTCAGCATGACGAGCGAACGCTTTAACCACTAGGCTACCCCACTGCTTCTCTAACAACAAGGATCAAGGGCTAATGGACGCTCACAACAGGATAAACAATCTCTCTAATTAAACCAACATCACATGCATGATCTTGACCTAAATACAACTTTGTCATTTGAAACGTCAAACTGAAAACGGATATCCTATCTCAGTGACAACAGAAACACACTCTGACACTCGTAGTTACCATGTCACAATAATTTTTTTTTACAAATAACTGCTTGCCTTGTAAATGTTTCCAAACTCCTCATTTGTTGGTTTTATTAATTCAGAATGACTTTCAAAAGCTTTCACATTTAATGCCACAATCAAAAGTATTACAGCCACATGATGGCAGTTTAAAATAATCAAATCTGGAACGAACAATCCGGTGACTGATGTCATGAGCATTAATCTATACACTGACCGTCTGATTGTAGCCACAGCCACCATCGTGGTCACTACCATCTGCCTTATCATAATGCCTTCATCGAGTGAGTGAGTGAGTGAGTACAGTTTTATTACGCTGCTTTTAACATTATTCCAGCAATATCACGGTGGGGGACACCAGAAATGGGCTTCACATATTGTACCCATGTGGGGAATCGAACCTGGGGATTCGCGTGACCAGCGAACGCTTTAACCACTAGGCAACCCCACTGCCCCTCAATCTATGCAGTCGGTACACAATTACATTCATCAACCAAATGAGTGAGCCTCACCAAACAATCCCATAAGTCGCCTGTTAGAAAAAGCAGGGTTGCAGAAGATCAGTTTTGACATGGATCTTCACATGTGTATTTAATGCAGTCTATCTCTCTGTGACTGTCTGTGGCCATACTGATATACAGCATGTATTCCACATCCTCGTAGATTTGTTTCCGTTTTACCAGATGTGATATCCAACATAATGATAGTTTACAGGAGACAGTTTGCAAAGGAAATTGACTTAGATACAAGCACTTAAATGTCTTTGATATGAGTGATATTAGTTTTACGCCGCTTTAAGCAATATTCCAGCAAGGGGACACCAGAAATGGGCTACACACATTGTACCCATGTGGGGAATCGTACCTGGGTCTTCAGCGTATTGAGCGGACATTTTCGCCCCTAGGCTACCCCCAATTTATTTGAGAAAACACAGGTCTAACACTAACCCACCTCCTTCTTATGAGGACGATGCTCATGCTGTTAATCACTAGATTGTCCGGTCCAGACTCGATTATTTACAGACTGCCATATAGCTGGAATATTGAGTGCGGCATTGAACAACCAACCAACCAACCAACCAATCAAAGAGGAATTAAACCCCTCTGTGAAGATTATGTACTGTACAATCTGCAGGTATTTTGAAATCTAGTATCACTGCTCCTATCAAAACTCCAACCAATGCCACCTGTTTGTTTACTGCTCAAAGTCACGATCACCCAGAAAAAGCACTCCAAGTTGGATAAAACACCACATTTAATGGTATGTCATGGCATGTCAACTTACATGTGAGGAAAGCCATAGGTACAAGTGTAATGCTGACAATTTGCTTATGTTTGTTTAAAGCCGCACTCAGCAATATTCCAGCTGTATGGCTGCAGTCTGTAAATAATCGAGTCTGGACCAGACAATCCAGTGATCAACATCGTGAGCATCGATCAACGTAATTTGGGATCAACCAGGCCAGTGTGCCTGACCTACCGATCCCACAAGTCACCTCTTACAACAAGTATGGGTTGCTGCTGTGGCCATCTAACTGAAGAATTTGACATGAAGCTAAGCAGCCATTAAGCACAAAAGCTTCACACTAAGTATAGTGAAAACACTTGCTTAAATTGTCACATTGGCAATATCTGATGACATTTAGAACCTTAATGAACCGTAATGAGATCAACATGTTCAGTGATGCAGAAGCTAGATGTTCATTATTGCGGAAAATGTCAAAGAAAGTGATTCAAGTTAATTGTTAATATAAACCTAGACAGTACGCAAGAGAAAATATCAATATTGAAAAAAGTAATGACAATGTTTTTGAAAGCAGTAAATTACCATGCAAGACACATGACTTAATACGATAAACAGTTTTCATTTGTGATAATGAGTTAAACTGGATACTTCAGCTTGTTTAATTAGTGCTCTTTCCGTATACAACCTTCAGACTTACTAACTGACTGAGTTTTGGTTTTACGCCGCTTTTAGCAATATTCCAGCAACATCACGGCGGGGGACACCAGAAATGGGCTTCACACATTGTACCCATGTGGGGATTCGAACCCGGGTCTTCGGCGTGACGAGCCAACGCTTTAACCACTAGGCTACCCCACCTCCCACCTTTAGACTTAAAGAGTGTGATGTAACAGTTTCAACTCACTCTGTAAGTGTTAAGGTTGTGTTAGAAACAGAGATAGATCAAGACGTACCGATTGTCTGTCTGGTGTCTGGGTGCCCATTTCACATTTGACGGATGTGAGTCGTGCCTCCTCACGGCCCCGAACCTCTGTGTTCTGTTTCAACGTCTGGAAAACAACAACCTCATCATCATACCGACAAATTTCTGGACAACAACTTCTTCTATTTTGTAACATTTCAATACAGATTCTGGTTCCATTGTCAAAGAAGTTACCTAAATCATCCAAAAAAATCAAAAAATCAATACCTATCATCAGAGACAAAATAACACAATATCTCGATCATCGAAAAGAACACTTGGATGTTTTGCCTGATGGATCGATGGATATATGGATGGGTGGGAAAATGATTGGAAAAAGGATGGAGAAAAACAGACAGATGCGGATGACAACAACACAATAATGAGAAGACCACAATGATGATATTGATTGCGGGATTTCTGGTATGAGGAAGGTTTTTTTGATAGAGGGATGATTTTGATTTGGAAAACTATGGATCAATAAACTATATCGAAATACCATTGATGCATTAAACAGGAAAATGAAACAGCAAAGACTTGTTTCCTATTAGTTCCCACGAACTCAAATATGATAAAGGTGTCAAAGTTTGCGCAACTTCAAAGACTTTCCCACAGCCATTTTGTGCAACTAGTCTGCAACTCCTTATATGGTCATGCAAATGCAACCAGATATACCCCATCAGCTTCAGATGAAGAAACAGAAACAGAATAATCTGACTCTAAAAACTCAGTTCCAAAATACAAATATTAGCAACCAGTTTCAGTTCCGGTTTACACATTTTAGTTTTGAACTTACAGATACAATGAGGGTAAACTTTAAATTTGCATTCTCCGTTCGAAATAGACACCTGGTTCCTGTTGAGCCTCCTCAGTGACTCAATGACAATGACAGCAGACGGAATCAACATTTCCTCCGAACACCCCACTCTCGGGTCAGTCATATCTGTGTGACTGGTCACAGTGAGTGAGTGAGTGAGTGAATGTGAGTGAAGAGAGAGAGTGAGTGAGTGAGTGAGTGAGTGAGTGAGTGAGTGAGAGAGAGAGAGAGAGAGTGAGAGAGAGAGTGAGAGAGAAAGTGAGAGAGAGAGTGAGTGAGTGAGTGAGTGGGGTTTTTGGGTGGGTGAGTGAGTGAGAGGTTAGGGAAGGGAGGAAGGGAGGGGAGATTTAATACCACTTTAAACATTATTCTAGTTATATCCCTAAATGATGGAGCTCTTAAAGTTGAATCACACTGGTAATGGGCACTGACAAACCTAGAGACATAATCAAGGCGCAAAAGGATTTGAAACACAATCAAAGGTTTTGGATTCACCCAAGGGACATAACTCTGCACAGATAATTGCAGTGCCTCAGACAACTGAGACACCAGTTCACCCTGTTGAAACCCGAACTTTACACACTCTGTATAGATCTGTTCAATTTTTATCTGTTCAAGGAACTTAAATATATTGTTCAAAGAATCTTGTTCTTTCATGTATGCTGATCAAGAACCAGGGAAAGCACTAAATGTGTCTCCAGTGACGCAGAATAAAATGCAAAAAGATCCAGGTTAGAATTGATCTACAGCAATGTCTATTTGTCTTAAGAGGAGGTGAGGTGAGGTGAAATTGGGTTTAACGTCGTGCTTGAGAATATTTCGCTCATATGACGACGTGCATGCATGTGTATGTGTATGTGCGACTGCTTGTACTAGCCCAGACTGAAGCTGGTTTTATAGTGCTAGCCCACTGAGATACCATGCCGCAGTGAAGCATGAATACCCCACTCAGACACATTATACTGACTCCGAGCCAACCAGTCCTTGTACCCATTAATGCCGAACGCCAGGCAGGAACCAACAAGTACCATATTTTAACGTCTTTTGGTATGACACGGTCGGGGATCGAACCCACGACCTTCCGCTCCCCGGGCGGACGCTCTAACCACTACACCACGGAGGCGGTCGTCTTAAGAGGAGACAAACTGGAATGGTAGCTCAAGATGACAGACTTGGTTAAATCACGTCATCGTATCCTAACTGTGTAGAAAGATGCTGAAGAAGTTAATCACTGAATTGTCTGGTCTGGTCTGATCCAGATGCAATCATTTACAGACCACCATACAGCTGGAATACTGCTGATGTCAGCATCAAACAACAAGGGGCGGCGGGGTAGCCTAATGGTTAAAGCGTTGGCTCGTCACGCGAAGACCCGGGTTCGAATCCCCACAGGGGTACAATGTGTGAAGCCCATTTCTGGTGTCCCCAGCCGTGATGTTGCTGGAATATTGCTAAAAGCGGCGTAAAACCAAACTCAGTCAGTCAGTCAAACAACAAACAATAAAACATTGTTCATACAATAATATTGTCTCATATGGGGTAGAAACATTAACAAAACTGAGTGACAATAAAGAAAGTACTTCCCGCCATTTAACCTCATTTGCATATTTACTGAATAGCGATACCAAGTTTGTCAAACTGGTTTATATGATAAATTACATCATTATAATATAACTTTTATTGTAGGTCACATCAGAGGAATGACTCATAACATGTTTACCATTCATGTATTTTTAGTTTTTCTTAGTTGGTGTGTCTGTTTAAGTCTGTTGTTTCAGTACAGCATGGAGTCGATTCATTTCAAACAGTTGCACAACAAAACAAACATGCATACAAGGAAATCCCTGAAGAAAAAAAATCCAGGAAGGTTTGAACTATTTAAACTATTCAACATGCCTCCATCATGTCCTGTAAGACATCCTCTGTGGTTTAGTGGATAGAGCATCTGCCCATTGAGTGGAATGTCAGTGTTTCATCCAAGGCCAGGGCGGTGGGGTGAGGTAGCCAAATGGTTAAAGCATCCGCTCATCACGCCGAAGACCCGGGTTCGATTCCCCACATGGGTACAATGTGCGAAGCCCATTTCAGGTCTTCCCCACCGTGATATTGCTGGAATATTGCTAAAAGCGGCGTAAAGCTAAACTCACTCACTCATCCAAGGCCATGTCACATGTCAAATACTGTAAACGTATTATATATCGCGCAGGTTTTATTTTCGTGCTTTTCACGCAAAATATTTTACCGCGAAAATTTATACACAGCGAATAAACCTTTCATTCATTCATTGTATTATTTGCAGGGATTAAGATTACCGTGTGTATTTGAGCTGGAAATAGCAATCAGCTGTGCACACGTATCCCAGCGATCAAGTTCAAACATACACAATAATATACCGGGACGAATTCTGACTCAGTCATCAGTAAAATATAATACAGAATACTATTATTTAACCCAACGAAATATATACTAACATTGTGTAAGTTTAATTACAGTTTTTGCTCTATAAATGTAAAATATATATAATCAACACTAACGTTATACAGACCCTCATGAACGTGGTAAGTTGTAGGCACTTGGAATGGGGTAAAATAACGGTATGTTATTTATTCATTAAGATTTTATTTATATTTATTCCTGCATATCACGAAATGAAATCACAAAAAGCTTCATATACGGTAGAAGTTCATTTCCTTGATAGTCAATTAACACATCAATCATCACATTCACAACAACCCGGCTTGTTTGAAATTTCGCGATTACGACTTCGGCTTCAATGTCATCTTTGCAATCATTTGGATCTGGAAGTCCAGGTGTCCTGAGGGTAGGGGGTAGGTAGCAATACACACCGCCTGATAGGTTAAGCCACTCTAGTTGTTTTCATTGCTATTAGTGGCGGCCTAAGAGACAGCTGGCAGTTCTGGCAATTACTGATTGCGCGAATAATTGACCGCGCGATGTAGTCTAAACTTTCAATTCCGCGAAATTTGCACCAAGCGAAAAAAAGTATGTTTACAGTATGTTAAAAGATGGCACTTGTTGTTACTCTGCCTGGTGCTTGACCATGCACATAAGACAAGGACTGGTCACATTAACTATGTTCTCCCAGTGTTTGAGTCTAGGGGCTCAAACAAATTCACTATTATAACTAGAGTTATAGTAAATCTCTTTCAGGAGTGATCTTAACTCTTCGATGACTGCAGCTTACCTCCTGTAACATAGTTTGTTTGTAACGTCATACTCAGTAATATTCCAGCTACATGATGCATGAGCATTAAACTACGTGATCGGGATACGATGACATGTGTCAACCAAGACAGCGAGCCTGACCACCCGATCCCGTCAGTTGCCTCTTACGACAAGCATGGGTTACTCAAGATCAATTCTAACCAGGATCTTCACGGATCTGTGACATTGTATTACTACTGTCAGATGTTCATTTCGCTTAACAAAGAAATAGAAACTATAAATATTTCCTCACTCACAAAGGTGTGGCACCATGCACGTGGCTCTGAATTTGAAAAATGATGTCCCTGTGTTTGAAGCTAACACTGCAACAGTCACATCCTATGTTAGAGTCAGTGCAAACACAGCTGAACTGTTGAGTGTTCTATATTCCCTCCGATGAGCATCAGGCCTACCAAAGAAAACTTTCCCACTGTGCCGAAAAATGCAGAAAAGCCCACATTAACTGTGGCAATAGCAACATAAACATATTACCTCGCTACTGAAACAGTAAAAACAGCAGCAAAAGTCTATGAAACTGCAACATTTTTATATCAGCGACCTTTGACCTCTACTGCGCATCCGAGCTTCTTTAAAATTTCCAAGCAACTGTGAATCGCTTCACACAGAAAAAGTATTGAATATGTCAAAATAGGTTATGTAAATCATTTCATACGAATGGAAAGTAAACTAAACAAGTGTGATGATGATAAATGCCAAATAACACAACAGAAATACTTTAAAAAGGGAATGTAACTTTTGTCCAAGCTGGAAAATGTCAACATGCGATTGAGACTTCCTCTTCCAAGTGCACATGCTCAAAATCGAAGTTGCAGGCTGTTCGTTTTTTTATCCAGTTTTAGCAATTTAAAGGTACCGTTTTTACTGTTTCAGTAGCAAGGCATTATGTTTATGTTGCTATTTCCACGATTAATTTCAAGTTTTTGCCTGTCATGCCAAAGGTCTGGGTTCGATTCCCAGACTGGTTCAATTTGTAAACCCTTGTGGTGTCTACCACCCCTACCTCCTTCTGTAACATTACTGTATTATTGTTCAAAGCAGTATAGATCTGTACTCACTCAAATGAGCGTATATATAACCAAGTTTTTGTTTATCAAATCAATTTTTTGCTTATAAATTAATTTTCCCTGTTCAATATTCAGGATGTTTATTTAAAATCATAGTCATGATAAACATATCAACATTTCAATCTTATATCTTATGTCCATGTCCTAAATCTTGATGCAACTGATGTAAATGTTTCCTCATCTGGAAATCAAAAGACTCCTTCTACCTGCCACAGAAAGAGTTGTCTCCCCTAGACCAGCGCACAGACCGAGCCAAAACTACTTATAACATTTATTTTCTAAAAATTATTCTAGACTTCGGTAGGACTCCTTTTTAATTTATTCTCTACAGTCTTGTGTGACAGACTTGATGGAAGGGAAAGTGATATAGTTCAACGATAGTGTCAGACTTTTTTCTATGCAATCTTGTTTGTTATTAGTATTAAGAAAACAATCTTAAAAAGTGGTAACAGAGAATTATTATTGACATCCATGGACATATTTATAACATTAGGTTAATGAGAATCTGTTTTAATGAGAATCGTGACCTCTGTTTTTATTCATACCATACATAATATTTTCCTGTTACACTGACAATCCAGTGATCATGAGTGCAGTCCACATCAAACCAAGCCAATGAGACTCACCATTGATCTATCAGTTGTCTATTTTGACTACCATAGGTAATGATGGACCAGTTCAGACTTTTAGTCCACAAGCTGGTAATGAGATCCTCCAGACACAAGTCATTTTCCAAAGAACAACTCTTCACAAATTCATATTCTATTGATATTCCTATTCTTGATTCATCAATCACTCAATACACACAGTTTGGTTGTTCCGTTTGTCCAGTTGCAACTTACATTCTAACGTACACGTCTAATATGTGAGTGAGTGATTGAGTGAAATTAGTTTTACGCCGCCCTCAGCAATATTCCAGCTATATGGCGGTGGTCTGTAAATAATCGAGTCTGGACCAGACAAACCAGTGATCAACAGCATGAGCATCGATCTGCGCTCAAATGGGATACAATGACATGTGTATATGTACAGACACGATCTTGCTGGAGCTGATTTTTACAAAATGCAGAACACAAACAGTTACAAATCACAAAGACAACAATGAAACACATCCTTGTCAAAAAAGTAAAAAGACAAAACATTACAGCAACAAGGACAAGTATTCTAATGTGAGTGAGTGAGTTTAGTTTCACACCGCTTTTAGCAATATTCCAGCAATATCACGACGGGGGACACCAGAAATGGGCTTCACACGTTGTACCCATGTGGGAATCGAACCTGGGTCTTCAGAGTGACGAGCAAACACTTTAACCACTAGGCTACCCCACTGTTCCCCCATTTTTGTGAAAGCTGTGGTGGCTGAGTATGTTAGATTGCATTGACAATGAAATGCCTGGCTCTGAGAGCGTGGGTTCGAATCCCAGATGGGACTCAACCCAAAGAAGTACTATAACCTAATACTGATAAAGTATAATCCAAAATACAACATGCGTACAACATCTACACAGGGAACATACCACATCACAATACAGAGAAGATAACTTACAATGGATCACAACACTAAACAAGTCATTCTCTTCCTGACACGGAGGAGGAAGAACCACAACTAATATGGCCTCCCATATCCATGCTGATAACATTATGATCAAGATTATCTCAACATGGAGGAGAACTTCAGATTCCTGTGGAGAGAGGAGTGAGTGACTTTAGTTTTACGCTGCACTCAGCAATATTCCAGCTATATGGCGGTGGTCTGTAAATAATCGAGTCTGGACCAGACAATCCAGTGATCAACAGCATGAGCATCGATCTACGCAATTGGGAACCGATGACATGTGTCAACCAAATCAGTGAGCCTGATCCCACGATTATGTTAGTCGCCTTTTACGACAAGCATGGGTTGCTGATGAAGCGTGTCTAGACTCACCTGTAGTTTAGCTAGTGGAATGATGTCACAATTCTGTGGTCGGTGCCACACCGTCTTCTGACTCGTGGCATTGTAATAATAGAACCGGGATGTGTTCGGGTCAAACAGCTCCCACCACTGGTTGTCATCAGTCTTTTTACTGTAAACAAAAACAGAACATTCAGTATGGTGATCAATGAATAATTAAAAGAATTCCAATACATCTGACTGCAGTTAGGGCCCAAATAAAACAGCTGCAAAATGATTCAGAACTGGAAAAAATCAAACATTAATTTATTAATGGCACCAATCTCAGGGAGATGATGATGACGCCGACGATGACGATGATGAGTGAGTGAGTGAGTGAGTTTAATTTTACGCCGCACTCAGCAATATTCCAGCTATATGGCGACGGTCTGTAAAAAACCGAGTCTGGACAAGACAATCCAGTGATTAACAGCATGAGCACTGATCTACATAATTGGGAACCAATGACATGTGTCAACCAAGTCAGCGAGCCTGACCACCCAATCCCGTTAGTCGCCTCATACGACAAGCATGGGTTACTGAAGATCAATATTGTAACCCAGACCTTCACGGGTTGATGATGATGATGATGCTGATGCTGATGCTGCTGATGATGATGATGGGTTCCCAATAGAATTGATTTAATTAACCTTTTAAAATAGCTTTATTTCAGGTCTATATGTTTGTCTTAAAATAACTTTTATGCTTCAAAAGGCACAGGGTGCAATCATCCAAGGAAGACAACTCTTTCAAGATCAGCATCCCCACACACCTCTTCATCAAAAGCATAATCACAGCCTCAATTATTCAAGTAATGAGAACAGCTTTCAAACAAATTCCCAGTCCCACTTTGATGTGGACGTAATAAATTAAATCATCACTGTTGCAATATTAACGTGAGGACGGAAAGCACTGATCTGAGTGAAATGAACGCGAGCTGGCGAAGTAGAGGATCGTCATGGAACCTGGGGGCAGGATAAAACGGTTCCGTGAGCGAGTATGTGAATGATTGCATGTGACGGGTAGCTGTCAGCTGTGAGATTGGCAAGGTTCTGGAGTAATCTGATTGCTAAAGGTGTGTGGGATATGTGTCTATTTACAATGACAAGCAGGAATCAATTTCACAAACGTTAACACTAGTGGTTCTGAAATTAATTGAAACTTTGGAAATGCAGAACTGATTATTTCCAAATGGAAAACATATCAATGGTTTCCATATAGCAGTCCTTATTATGCATTGAAGTTCAAATTTCTCCAAATATACTTTCTGTGTGTAATATTTCCATTTATCAAATGTCAATCTGTCTGTAAATTACATAAAATTAATCACACAATACTTCCTTTCTTCCATTGCAATGAATAAAGGTAGCTGAATGGCCTATGTGTTTGCTAGTCACACAGAAGATTCAGGTTCTATTCTGTTGATGCAGATAAAGTGCACGGCAAATATCTTATTTCCAGTCTCTTGTAAAGTGTGGTGGTATAGCCGAATATTTACCAGTATTCACCAATTTGGCCACAGTTTGATTCCAAAAATGGTTACTGAGATATTGGTGTTGTTACAACAGTGTTACGGGGACAATAAACATGGCTCATTCATGTTTGTTTGTTTGTTGGTTGTTAAACTCGGCACTGAGCAATATTCCAGCCACATTTCATTCATGACTCAAAGCACAACAATCACATCAACAAATTAACTGGTTAAGTTAAGAGAAGCACTCCTAAAATGTCAAACACTGAGACAGTGCCAAAACGTCTGTGTTTTTTCAATCAAGTAAAATCGTGCACCCTGTATACTAGCACAAAGTGGGGGAATAGGTAAAGAATTGAAATCACAAATGAAATGAAATACAAAGGTAGCAAAGCTCACAGATCCATGAACCACACTTATTGATATGGCTGTCATTTCCAGTGAAAATCATATCAATGGTGTCTGATAAGAGTAGCTGCTATAATTAATTTACATTCTAATGCCTAACAGTTATTTGTTTCTTGTTCAACTTATCACTCAGCAATATTCCAGCTGTATGACAACAGCCTGCAAATAATTGAGTTGAGACCAGACAATCTAGTGATCAACATGATGAGCATCTAGCTACACTATTCAGTTTTATCTTGCCTTACACATAAATGTCATTTTCTGATTGGCTGAGCGCTCTTCTATGACTTTCAATGTGCCCTGCTTACAAGCGAGCAACATTTTCTATGTACCCCGCTGGGAATGCCGAACTCATATGGTACTTCATTGTAGTAATTCTTTATCTTGAATAACATTGAATCACATATGATGTACGGAAATTACCGATGTTTTGTGAATGCAAATCGATGGAAGGGAGATAACTCTAAATTTGTTTTTCTTGTCATCTTGTCATCTGGTACTCCATACTATGATCTGATACCCGTGCTTCAAACAGTTCAAAATTACCATTAAGGTGTTCGGTAAGATAAATACCTTGTTCACTGGTCCCTCGGGGCTCATGGGTTGATGTACCCTCGATGTTTCTTTACGTTCCCCTCACCCTTCGGGCACAGGAAACATAAGCAAACATCGAGGGTACATCAACCCATGTCCCCCTTGTGACCCGTGAACAACCTATAATGTCATGACATGTCAGTTTGTTAGTGAGTCTGGTAAAATGCCTTTTTGAACAGTATTTCAGCTGTATCACAGTGTGTCAGCTTGATGTGTGTGTGTGTGTGCGTGGCGTGCGTGCGTGCTGCGTGTGTGTGTGAGTGAGTGAACCTGGGATAAGGCCTCTTTGAACTATTTCATTTGTATCACCATCAGTGAGACTGGGTAGCCATAAAATGGTAATATCAATTAATGATGCATGTCAGCCTACAAGCGCTGGCACAGTTTAATATGACATTTAACACTTAGCATAAAAATATACAAAAATTGAGCATGTAAACAAACCCTTACTCTGACAGTAAATGAAAAATGCACATATGCCACAGTACCATAACACTGACAGGAGAGGACCAGCCTGAGAAGAACCTCCAACTGTCATTACATACTGGAAGCGTTCTACAAGGCCACGGCTAAACACAACAGGCAATGAATCACTTCTCACACTTGTTAATTGCTAATAGATGCCACGAAGCTGCCGATCCTTTCACCTGATTCATGTACAGATCAGCATGTGTAGAATAACACAGTGTGGGAAATGTATATTTGTTTATAGTAGATGAACAAGTTAGTGACACTGTGTAGAGTATTGTCTACTCCCTGTACTGTAGGAAACAAATGCCTTTATGTTATAGATGGGCTACTAGAGTTTGTATATGACACTGTGAAGAGTACTGTAGACTCCCTACACTGTGAAGAGTACTGTAGATTCCCTACACTGTGAGGAGTACTGTAGACTCCCTACACTGTGAACAGTACTGTCGACTCCCTACACTGTGAAGAGTACTGTAGACTCCTACACTGTGAAGAGTACTGTAGACTCCCTACACTGTGAAGAGTACTGTAGACTCCCTACACTGTGAAGAGTACTGTAGACTCCCTACACTGTGAAGAGTATTGTAGACTCCCTACACTGTGAAGAGTACTGTAGACTCCCTACACTGTGAAGGAGTACTGTAGACTCCCTACACTGTGAAGAGTACTGTAGATTCCCTACACTGTGAGGAGTACTGTAGACTCCCTACACTGTGAAGAGTACTGTAGACTCCCTACACTGTGAAGAGTACTGTAGACTCCCTACACTGTGAAGAGTATTGTAGACTCCCTACACTGTGAAGAGTACTGTCGACTCCCTACACTGTGAAGAGTATTGTAGACTCCCTACACTGTGAAGAGTACTGTAGTACTGTGAAGAGTACTCCCTACACTGTGAAGAGTATTGTAGACTCCCTACACTGTGAAGAGTACTGTAGACTCCCCTACACACTGTGAGAGTACTGTAGACTCCCTACACTGTGAAGAGTACTGTAGACTCCCTACACTGTGAAGAGTACTGTCAACTCCCTACACTGTGAAGAGTACTGTAGACTCCCTACACTGTGAAGAGTACTGTCAACTCCCTACACTGTGAAGAGTATTGTAGACTCCCTACACTGTGAAGAGTACTGTAGACTCCCTACACTGTGGGAAACAAATGCTTTCATGTTGTAGATGGGCTACTGAGTTGGTAGGGGCGGTGGGGTAGCCTAGTGGTTAAAGTGCCTTGGCATGTCTAGATTTTGTTTTTGTAACATTTTTTGGTTCCAGTGTATAAGTGTTGTGTGTGTTTCTTGTTTTGTGTGTGTTGTGTGTTTTTTGTTTTGTGTTGTGCCTGTATGTTATTAGTGATGTGTTCCTCCTGCATCACCCTGGAGCTGCTGGTGTTTGTACACATTGACAGGAGCTGCTAATCAGCTGCAGGTGAATTACGATACGTCTTACACTATGCCAGTCTGTGCTTCATGGAAACAGATGTACACGCTTGCATCAAATTAATCATACTGGCAGAACATATAATCAACTTGGGGCAACAATTACATGCTGCTGTATTCCAAGAATAAATTTCCATGAGACTACATGCAATTCAGTTCTTTGACGATTTTCCACCAAGATGAAGGCCCATGATCTGACGTTCAGCCATGCAATATTCCTGCAGCTGCAACTACTGGTGTCTACATTTCTTGGGGAACAATCGACCACACTCTTTCTACCCACATTTCAAAGAGAGTTGCACAACTCTTGCTCAAAAGCTCTAAAGCTGTTAACAGGGATGCAATATGCATGGCTTCTGCAAAACTTTGACAAAGTTTCATGGTGGACATGTGAGAACATTTCCAAATCTGACAAATCAAAAATGATGTCCAATGCAATTCCCTATGCTAGCTTGTAGATGTGTTTTCAGGCTTTTCCAGATAAACAATTGCCTTGCCTTTTCGTGTGTTTGTAAGACAAGATACCGTCAACATTTCTTAAAAATATTAAGAAATTAAACAATTAATCTTATAAAACAAAAGCTATATCCATATCTTCGATCGTATTATTCAGTTATCCACTAACTGATAAGAAAAAAAACAAGTTTGCACAAACATTTTTCAAAACATTTTAGAAAATTCAAAACCCGAAATACCCAAGATCTGACATACCTAGCCCAGAGATAGTGTGACACCAAATTAAATCATTCACTA